TATTTATTTTATTGGAATTTTATTTTCTTTCAAAATACATAATATCTAATTAAATTTAGACATATTTTTAGTGTTTACAACACCTATACAATAAAAATCAATAATTCACACACAAACTGTACATTTTTTTTCCATATGTGGACAAAAAATTGTGTTATTTTTAATAAACACAAAATTTGTACAAATTATATTTGATTTGAATTTAAAGCGGGTCATATTCTCTAAATGGGTCCTTTGATTCTCCTTTCGGGTCGATTTATTTTCCAACTTGATTTTCGATGGCTTCTTTGATCCGAAGAGGTTTGGTCTTCAGTTTGACTTTGCCGGCTTTTGGAGAGCTTTGGTCTCCGTGCGGGCTATTTGATCGTCAGCTTTGGATTTGATGTCTTTAGTTTAGATGATCCAAGGCTTTGATCTTTGATTTGGCTTTGCCGCTTTTGGAGGACTTTGGTCTCCGTGTTGGCGATTTGATCATCGTCTTTGGATTTTTTGTCTTCTTTGGACGATCCGCGACTTTGACATTTGTTTTGGCTTTGTCGCTTTTGGAGGACTTTAGTCTCCGTATTGGCGATTCGATCGTCGGCTTTGGATTTGATGTCTTCTTTAGACGATCCGCGACTTTGACATTTGTTTTGGCTTTGCCGCTTTTGGAGGACTTTGGTCTCCGCGTTGGCGATTTGATCATCGTCTTTGGATTTGTTGTCTTCTTTAGACGATCCGCAACTTTGATCTTTAGTTTGCCTTTTCCGCCTTTTGGAGAGCTTCGGTCTCCGTGTGGGCGATTTGATCCTCAGTTTTGGATTTGATGTCTTCTTTAGACGATCCGCAACTTTGATCTTTAGTTTTCCTTTTCCGCCTTTTGGAGAGCTTCAATCTCCGTGTGGGCGATTTGATCCTAAGCTTTGGATTTGATGTCTTCTTTGGATGATCCGCAGCTTTGATCTTTGATTTTTCTTTGCCGCTTTTGGAGGGCTTTGGTCTCCGTGCGGGTGATTTGATCCTAAGCTTTGGATTTGATGTCCTCTTTAAACGATCCGCAGCTTTGATCTTGGAGAAGGTGGATTTAGTGCTCCATAACGCTTTTGGCGGCGTGTCTCTTTGACTTTTGGATCGAAGAGGGCCTAGTTGATGCTTTGTTGAAGAACGCGATGAACATCTTGAAGCTTTGAGAGGAGCTTTGAAGACCTTCCATTGGCTTTGACGAATTCCTCAACGGCTTTGAGAGCTTTGATTCTTCCTCCGGCTTGGACATACGACGAAGAACGTTAACTTCATCGATTCGTCAACCAATATTGGATCATTTGTCCAAATCAGTGACTTTCGACGAAGAACGCTTCGAAGGACACGAAGAACATGAAGAACAATACAGAGAGAATCTAGAGACTTACCCTTTGCTTGAATCCTTGATGCAACTTCGGTCTCTCAAATGAATTGGCCATGGCTCCTATTTATAGGAGATGGGTGGCCTTGGCTTCCTTTTCGGATGGTGCCACGTGTATGGAAAGATTTTATAATCTTTCATCTTCCATCAGATGTTGTTTTCCATTCTTGACGGATTTGATTGTGCACCTTCATTTCTCGCCAAAATCTTTATATCATTGTCTTTTTTTGGAAGATATTAATTTATATACTTTCTTTATTGACAAGATCTTTATATCATTGTCTTTTTTTGGAAGATATTAATTTATATACTTCCTTTATTGACAAGATTAATTTATTTTGCTGCCAAATTTATTATGGCTCTATTTATGCACGTAATATTTGTACGATATCTTCCATTTTAAGCATATTTTTGCATTAATGGTTGATATTTATTGTACAAAAATTAACATATGTGCATAATAAAATACCATGTATTTATATCATTGGAATTTTATTTTTTTCCAAAATACATGATATTTAAGCGATTTTAGACATATATTTTTAGTGTCTACACTATAATCTTATAATAATTCTACGTACTTAAAAATATATATATTCCATCCGTTATAATTTAAAGTATTATTTTTACCACCTATACAATAAAAATCATTAATTCACACACAAATTGTACATTTTTTTTTCTATAATCTCATCATAATTCTACATACTTAAAAAAATATATATTCGATCCGTTATAATTTAAAGTATTATTTTGACCATTTTGGTATGTCACATTTAAAAGTATTTATTTCTTACTTTAGAAAAAATAATTATACATTAATATCAAAATACCCTTAACTTTTTCTTAAATTACAAACATATCATTACATATACAATTACTTTATGGTGTGTTCGTATGTGAGACTTTTCAATATTTCTACTATTCACCAAATTTTTTTCCCAAAAAATATCAAATCAAATATTTATTTATTTATTTTTTATACTCTACTATAAATCAGTTTTACATTCAAAACATTATATCAATACCTATTATATCATATCATACTACTATTTCAATTCAAAAATTTTACTATTCAAATCTAAATCAAAATCCAAACCTCCAAACAAACACACCTTATATATAAAGACAAATGACAAAAATATCAAAAACGCTTACACACCTTGACTAACTAATACAATACTGTTATTTTTTTAATATATTACAAAATCCCAAAAAAATTCATTGAATTTGGATGGATGTAGTATATATATATATACTTTAAACTATATAATATTAAATAAACAAACATTTTATTTTTATAGAAAATTGTATAATAAAACAAAATTCCAAATAAACATTGTCCAAAGTTTTTTCTGTCTTTTCATTTTACTGTACAGTTTTTCAAATTAGACTTCAAAAAAGCATTATATTCATTTTATTTTTCATACAAATAGTCATATTCAATAATAAATGGGCTTTATTTATATACACATATATATATATTTGTATTTTGTCGTTATTTATTAATATTTTAAAAAAATATCTTGAATACATATTTATTATCACAAACATCACATTGTCAATGTTCAGTTTTAACTACTTTTAAAATTCTTACATAACTTAAACTTTCCAAATTAAATTCTTATATAATCGTAGCCAATTTGACAAATTCATTTCAAAAACATTAAAATTTAAAATACATGTATACACCAAAAGGAACATGGTGATGGTCTTAAGCTTTGATCTGAAATCTTCTGAGGCATGGCAGATGGGATGGGATGGTGGTTGATCATATATATCAAAGCAGGTGAAAAACCAACTCTACTTTAATGGGAATTTACATACTTTCCAAACACTTACCATTGATATCATCTCAACATTGCAGGTGTCTTTTCTTGACCTACTCACCCACCCACCCACCCAATTTCTTGCTGTTTTTTCTTTCTCATTCCCATCTGCCCAAAGCTGAGCCTGAGAGGATGGATAGATTATATATATATATATATATATGTTTGTGTGTATTTGCAAACAATTTGGCAAATCTTGCTAACTTTGACATTTCCTTTTGGCAGATTCTTTATATATAGCTTTTGGCCCAAATGGGGAAGACAAGACAGACAGCAACAAAATGAGGGAGCAGAAGAAGACAAACACAAGAGGGTTTGGAAGGTTGTGGGAGAATTTCTTGCAATTCCCACAAGAAATAAGAGGACAAAAACAAGTGATGTTTTGGCTTTTGTTAGAGCTTGTTTGGAGGTTTGTCAAGATTGGAGAATATTGAAGACTTTAGGACAGCCCTTGATTCCCTATCCATCCCATGCCATGCCATGACAACTACTGTATATGCATGTAGCCAACAAATAAATATATATAAATTAATTGATTTTTTATTTAACAAAAAAAAGAAAAGAAAAAAGTTATGTCCAAATTTTGAAGAGAGACACCAATGGTCATTGTCTGCACAGAAAAAAACAACCACAGTGGTCTCTCATCTCTGTGTTGTATTATTGAATGTGACAATGTTGGTGGGAGCATTTTGAATTTTACCATTGTTCACTTTTGTGAAATTGTCAAGACCCTTCTTTTATTTTCTACAAAAGATCCATATGTGGGATTGTGATTAGGGTTTTTGTTTTGTTGGGGATTATAATTAATTAGTGTGAAATTATATCAAGAATTTTTTTTTCTTTTTTTAATGCGAAAGATAGGGATTATAATTATGGTGAAATTATCAAGATTTTCTTTTCTTTTTTTTTTTTTTTGCAAAAGATAGGGATTATAATTAGGGTGAAATTATCAAGGTTTTTTATGATAGTGAAAATTTATAACTTTTTATTCTTAAAGTGTGTTTTGAGTAAATTTTCGACAAACTAAGCTGATAAAGCAAGTTTCATTAGATCAATCATGTAACAAATAAAACTAAATAGCAAAACCCTTTTTTGTTTTTTTTTTTTTTTGACAAAAGATGGGATTGTGATTAGGGTTTTTAATTATTTTGTGCAAAAGATGGGGATCATAATTAATTAGGGTGAAATTCTTTTTATATTATGTGCAAAAAATGAAATTGTAATTAGGGTATACTACAAAATGTAGTAAAAGACAAGAAAGGGGTAGGGGTGAGTAGGGGGTTCTCTACTTCTCTTTATTGTTCAACTTTTTCAACTAAACATGATGAATCAAAGGAGGGGTTTTCACATGGAGGATGAATAAATGTAATGACAGTATGACAACAACAAATCCAAGAATTGTTGCACTAAAGTTTCTTTCTTTTATTTTATTTTTTTATTTTTATGGGGAATTTCCAATCCCCAAGTAATTGTTCTTGTGCTGGTTGGCTGGCATTGGCAAGAAAGACTAGGCTGTCAATGTCACTGGTGCCTACAAATTTCCATCCCCTATCCCCTAGTTAGAGGAGAAAACGACGAGTGGGTGTCCTAAGACAAGGAATAACAACAGGTTTCGAGACAGCCAGGGGCCATTTACAACTCAAGAAATAAATAATATCTATATATAAGTAAAGAAGACTATGAAGGAATATACATACATATACATATAAATATATAATTATATATTAATAATTTCTTAAAGGTACAAAAATGGGCACTTGTTCTCACAAATTCCATATTCCTTCAACAGGCAAAAGGACACCAAGCCTGTCACGACAAAATCCCCTCTCACGCTTAGTTCACGACGCTGCCATGTATCAAATCGTCCAACAATGACTAATCTTTTCCCCTAACTCTTTATTCTTTTTTTATTATTATTATTTTTAAAAATAAATATTTGCAAACCCTTCTCTCTCTCTCTCTCTCTCTCTCTCTGTATGTTTTGTTTATTTAAGAAGGCTGTGGAACAAAGATTGGGAGTTATTTGTTATCTGGAGGTGGGATTGCTGTAGGGCTTTTGGTGGGTTTTTCGTGAATTGAAAAACGCTCGAGAAAGGGATTCTTGGTGAGTTTCTTCGATTTTCTCATGTTTGTGTTAGTTCTTGATTCGATTGATTAGGTTAAGATTTCGGTTCCGAGTATGTTAATTTGGGGATTTTGATTTATTTACTTTTTGTTCCTATGATTTGCTAGGGATTGATTATCTTATCTTCTGATTCGAACAAATGTTTCAAGAAGATGGATCCTCGTCGGTGACCTCCTCGCCGCTCCAAATGTTTCCGATGATGTCCTTATCCCCAAATTTGATGTGTCCGTACCCATGGCTGAAAGAACTCAAGCCTGAAGAAAGGGGTCTGTATTTGATCCATCTTCTGGTCACGTGCGCCAATCACGTGGCCTCCGGCAGCCTCGAGAATGCCAACATAGCCCTCGATCAAATCTCCCATTTGGCCTCTCCCGACGGCGATACGATGCAGCGAATTGCCTCCTACTTCTCCGAAGCTCTCGCCGATCGGATTCTCCGAAACTGGCCTGGCGTTTACAAGGCCTTCAATTCCACCAAACTCCCCAACCTTGCCGAAGAAGTTCTTGTAAGAAAACTCTTCTTTGAGTATCTCCCGTTCATGAAGGTCGCCTTTGTGATCACTAATCAGGCAATAATCGAAGCCATGGAAGGCGAGAAAATGGTCCACGTCATCGACCTGAATGTGTCCGAACCGGCTCAGTGGTGCGCCCTGATCCGGGACCTCAGCGCCCGCCCCGAAGGGCCGCCGCACCTGAGGATCACCGGCGTCCACCGCCGGAAAGAGGTGTTGGACCAGGCGGCGCATGTGTTAATCGAGGAAGCCGAGAAATTGGATTTGTCGTTTCAGTTCAATCCCGTGGTTAGTCGTTTGGACAATCTTGATATCGAAAAGCTTCGTGTCAAAACAGGGGAGGCTCTGGCGATTAGTTCGATTATGCAGCTGCATTCCCTCGTCGGCAGCGGAGCCGCCGCCGCCTCCGCCGCTGCCGACAATTCGCGGTACAATCGATCTCCGATGTCGAATGCATTCAGCCTAAACTTGCATAGGGTTGCAGCGCAGATGAATCAGAATAATACGCTCGGCGATTTGCTCGAAAAAGACATGGTTAATGGCCATAGCCCGAGCACCGACTCTGCCTCGTCATCGCCGCTGTCCTCCGCTCCCACGTCGAGCATCGACGGGTTTCTCGGCGCGTTATGGGGTCTTTCGCCGAAGGTTATGGTGGTGACGGAGCAGGATTCGGATCACAACGGGAAGAATTTGATGGAGAGGCTGTCGGAATCGTTGTACTTTTACGCTGCATTGTTCGATTGTCTCGAATCGGCATTGCCGAGGGCGTCGTCGGAGAGGTTGAAGATGGAGAAAATGTTGTTAGGGGAGGAAATTAAGAATATAATAGCGTGCGAGGGAGTCGAGAGGAAAGAACGACACGAGAAGCTTGAGAAGTGGAGCCAACGATTCGACTTGACGGGTTTCTCGAACGTTCCATTGAGCTACTACGCGATGTTGCAAGCGAAGAGGTTGTTGCAAAGCGTTAATTGTGACGGGTATAAGATTAGGGAAGAGAACGGGTGCGTCGTGATTTGCTGGCAAGATCGACCCCTTTTCTCCGTATCGGCGTGGAGGTATAGGAGGTGAAGTTTTCGGGTGGTTTCGACTAGTTTTTGTCGTTTTTTTTTTATTACATTCTCTTTGAAATTTATTCGTTGTCGTCGTTGTTTGTAGAGTAAAGACTCGATCTTGATATATATATGCGGAGGTTTTTAGCCGTCGAACATGATCGATTTGTTGTTGTTCTTTTTGCTCTCGTTTTTTTAGGGGCTAACTTAAGGTTTTGTAGATATTTGGTTCGAATTTGACATTGTGTTTTGTACAATCTTTGTCTTCTTAAGACCAAGAAATCTTTGTTACGATTTTGTTTTCTTCTTTTCTGTTCTTAACTGTTTGTTGGCTCATAAGTTTGATCAAAATGGTTCTGTTGTTTGGAAAAATTTGTCTAATTTTTGTCGATTTTCGAAAGTTTTGGAAGTTTCCGGTGATACTTGTGACGGCGATGATAAGCTCTTACATAAGATGTTGGTAAACTTGAAGACAACCTATGCTCTTCTGAAGAGTTGAAGAACATAAGACAAGCTCGGAAGAATTAGGCGATGATGATGGATGTTTTTGTAGGATTCCTTCGCCGGCACGTCGCGTTTTCGCCCTCTTTACGTTTCGATTTTCATTCGTTTTCTGCATGTTTGAGAGGATAAAATATATATATCCAAGAATTGTCGAGTAAAATATACTATTTCATCTTGTAAAGGAAAACTTTTTAGGCTCTTGCCTTAAGTTTCGTTTCAAATTTTTTATTATAAATATTAAAGATTCACTATAAAAATATGTTATTATCTTTCGCAAAATATTTAATATAAACTCCTGTTCAAATAAAAAAACGATAGTATATACATAAGATGAGTTTTTGGTCTTTCATCAATGCTCCTTTGTCGATGCAGTTGGAATCCTTGAAGGTTGGCGCCCGAGGCCTGCAGAAACTGTTGTCACAATCTTAGCATCGAGAGTGCGTGGCCAGATGCATCACCCGGACAATATCATCCGTTGGATCTAAACCATTGTTTGATCAAATTGTATTGCGGGCAAGACTAATGAGGAGAGAGAGGTTAGTCGCGCGGAGCCATTGAAGGATCGAGAGTGTTAAAGTCCATATGAAGGGTAAATGACAACTCCTTTTGTCACCAGTGAATTTTGAAATGGAGCCTTGATTTCTGCTTAGAGCAATTGCAACGGTCCAAGTAAAGAGTAGCTTCCTTCGTTTTAGAGAGTGTCATATAAATTTAACATATACAGTGGCTTTTCCATGGAGGGTTAACTTTCGGCCGGCCGTCTCCGTGGCTTGGCAAAGTAGAGGCCTCGCTACGGGCCAAAAATTTTTCTCTTTCTCTTTTTCTCTCTCCGCGTCACCATCTCTTCCTCTTCTTCCACCAAGTTCACTTTGCACCAAAGCTTCTCCAATCCGCTTCAAACTCGAATCTTTTCTGGAAAAGCTTGCGGATCGTCGTTTCTGTCGGTAAGTTTTCAACAATTTTATTTTATATTTTGGCTTTGATTGAATCTTGGTTTCATTGCTTTGACAAATTGAGGATGTTGGGGCCTCAAAACTAGGGTTTGATTCGAACACACAGTTTGGTTGTCAAAGCTAGGGCTTTGGTTCGAATAAACATCTTCGTTTGGTTTTTACTTATTGATTGGAATAGGTCTAGTGTTTGGGCATTTTTGGGTTGAAAATGTTGTTAATCGATTTGAAATCTTCTAGTTTCGTTTTCATAGATGTTCCTTCCCACTTTTTTTTAGATATTATTTGTCTTTGTATTATATTTCGCTTTAATTTGTTTTTGTGAAATATCTTATGGTTTTAGTACGACAACTATGTATGTATGTCTGTTGTTTGCGGTTGCATCTGTTGCCGATGAAGGGAGGCTGCGAAGGATGCTATGGACAGAGTATCGCTTCATCGCAAAATCACGTTTCCTTCTTCTCTGAAAAATTTTTGATTGCGATTTTTTCAGTTTTAATTTCCTTAGATGGCTCTTAATTTTCGCAGATTATTGAGGCTAGGGGAGTATTAGAATTGCCAACCATGGTGTTCGGGAATCCATTGTATGGAGTGAAATTGAACTGGTAACTGATACTGAAGTTTTTGTTAATATATTTGCTTCTGTTTTCTTCTTGATAGTTTTCGTGCCTATTGTGTATTCATCCCCAAATATTTATTTGGGGAAGAAAGAAATAAATGTATTGATTGATTTAATTGTATAATCATTTCCTTGATTTTTGAGATCTAAATTTTTGGTTTTTGAGATTTTGATGTTGTAAGGATTATAGGAAGACTATCATATTGGCTTTTTGTCAATGAATAAGTATTATGTCATGTTTCCAATACATTTAATTCGAGCTTCGATTCTTGTTGTTTACTTGGAATATTTTAAAGAATCAACTATGAATTCACTACAAGAAAATATCATTTTTGTAACGAGATTTTTTCGTCTTTAAATTCACTTTTTCCGTTACTAATGATATTAGAGACGGAATTAATGATGAAATTACGTTAGCTACGTGATCTTTAGGGACGGAATTCCGTTACAAATATACTATTTTTTTGTAGTGGAACTAACTTCGATGAAATGTGGTTAATTGGTAATTTTCTTTTTTATAGGACTTTTATGCACATTTGTGTACTACATAGAATGAATGGGACATTTACCTTATTTATATAGTCCAAAAGTAATTAATTAATGCAAAATTGGGGTTTCTGTCAATTTGTCGGCAAAGTTGATCGCAAGGTTGTTAATTCACTAATTATTGTTGTCAAGTTTTATACAAATGCTACAGAGCAACTTTGCTGTTAAAAGAGTTGCTTACTGCCGTATTTCATTGATGAAAACTCTAATTTTTCCATGAAATTATGTGATGTATCATGGAAACTAGGAATTCATCGAATTTGAGTCTTATTATTGTGTTGTTCAAGTTTTGAGATTATGTTAAAAGCGTGGTGCTAAAATTGCATATCACTTTATGTGAGGGAAGAAAATCTTAGTTAAACTTGAGATTTTGTATAAGGTATCATGAAAAATACATGGCTCGTAGTTAGCTAATGAGGTCAGATAAAGATCACTCACAAAGTTAATTCCGTGGGGATTATGGTTTTGTTTGTTTTAGTATATTTTGGTGTCTTCTTATTACATATATTGAGACTCAATATGCATATTTTGATTGTACAGAAACTATTGGGATATTTTATTAAACGAAGGGTGTGTTTGTTTGGGATTTTGGATTTTGAGTTGGAATTTGAATAGTAAAAATTTTGAATTTGAATAGTTGTATAGTGTGATATAAATAGGTGTTGATGTGATGTTTTGAATGTAAAATTGATTTTTAGTATAATATAGAAAATGAAAAATAGGTGTTTGATTTGATATTTTGGGAAGAAAATGGGATTAATAGTGAATTTAAAATCCAATCCCCCAAACAAACACACCCGAAGTATATGTGAAAGAATGTAAAAGCATTTGTATCTATTGTCATTGGTTGACGTTAATTTTTTGAGTCTTATATTTTCATTACAACTAATGTGTTATGTAGATGTGCACATTTATCAACCAAATTTTACTATTACAATGTGTTGGTCTGCAAAGTACATGTAAGTTTTGCAGCCATTAATATATAGATAGATAGTTGTCCCTTTTATTCTTCAAATCTTTTGAGTACATGATCGAAGAATATCTGTTGGAAGTGATTTCTATTTATTATCGGGTGCAGGCAGGCTAGTAAATGAATAACTGAAGGTATGTAATTATGAAAGGAATTGAGCTGCAGGACAATATTTGCTGAGGAACATTATTGTCATTGATATGTTGTATCACAATAAATTGTAGTAGGACTTGACAATTGAGAAAAAAGACCTACTTCTATATTGAATTGAAGCATTGCAGGGAACAATACATATTTTAAATGATGTAATGTATATATATATATATATATTTGTTTTGATGACAATAAATATGTGCATGTATATATTTCTTTCATGTCATTAAATTATGATATGAAAAGGGTAAATTAGCGGCTCTATTTTATATTAATTGTATATGTTTTCTTTCATGGCATTAATTTCTTATATGAAAATAGTAAAGCAACGGCTCCATTTTATACTAAGTCTATGTGTGTGTAGTGGATGATCGCTCTATGATATATGTATATATACATATATATAAACATAGTTACCATCCTCAAGAAGCAGACAATTCCAACTTGAGGAGCCAGCCACCCTTTCTCATACAATACACTCATTAAGCCATATTCCAAACTCTACATTTTTTAAACCAGTCACCCCTTCTCATGCAATACACTAATTAAGCCATATTCCAGCCTCTGCAATTTGTATGGCGGTTCATCGTCGGCCATGGACAGACAACAGGAGCAGGAATCCGATAACTCGAGCAAAGCAGCATATCTCCGGGAAGATCAACTATGTGCACAGCATCGCCGCCGCCGGCGAAAGCAATTACTGTTGTTGGAGCAAGAACAACTTCAACGATGGTCGGCAGTCTTGCCTGCAATTTTTAATGGCCAGGTAGCGGCAGCTCCAACGAGACAAAATCATATATATAAGGATAGAGAAGGAAAACATGAAGTGTTGTGGTCAAACTATTTATTTGAGATGCCTCACTTTCCTGAGTCATATTTCAGATGAAGGTTTCGAATGCGAAGGGAACTATTTACCAAAATTTTCACAGAGGTATGCAATAACGACCCTTATTTCAGTTAGCAAGATAACTACACAAATCGTAAAGGTCTTTCACCTCTGCAAAAAATTATGGCAGCAGTGCAAATCCTCGCATATGGTTTTTGTTTCGATAGCATTGATGATGCTATAAAGATAGGAGAAAGTACAACAAGAGTGGCTATGTTAAAGTTTTGTGAAGCAATTATCAATACGCTTAAGGAACAATATTTGTGTGACCCGACCACCGACGACATAGCACGACTATTAGCTGAAAACAAAGAACGTAGATTTCAGGGGATGATAGGCTCTCTCGATTGCATGCACTGGCGGTGGGATGCATGCCATGTGGCGTGGAGAGGCCAATACAATGGGCCCTACGGCTACCCGACATTGATATTAGAGGCAGCTGCTTCCCAAGACCTGTGGATATGGTATGCATTTTTTGGAATGCCCGGTACCAATAACGATATTACAGTTTTGGATTATTCACCCTTGTTCAACAGATATATGGACGGAACAGCAACGCCGATCGAATATGAGGTGAATGGGAGGCGGTACAACCTCCCATACTACTTGACGGATGGTATATATCCTAAGCATGCAGTTTTCATGCAGGCAATAAGCAATCCGGTTACTACCAAAGAACGAGCGTTTACTACATTGCAAGAAGCTTTTCACAAAGATATCGAAAGAGTATTTGGCGTACTCCAACAAAAATGGCGTATTTTGGCCATGCCCGCTCGAATGCGAAAGACAAGCGATCTTCTATGTGTAATGACTATGTGTACTATTCTACACTATGATTGTCGAAGATGAACGTGGTCACAATCTTCCCATTTGGACACCACCAATTAAAGAGAATCAAAATTTTCCCGAGCATGAGCAATCAGTTGAAAATGTTCGTCTCTTATATCGCATTCGGATGGGTAGAATTCGTAATCCTGAAACTAATGTAAGACTACGCGATGATCTCATTAATCACCAGTGGACGAGATCGGGTGGAGAAAACATCTAGTGGTATCGTGGTGTCATGTTCCTTTACCGGATCTCAACAATCGGATAATTTTGTAAATATATATATATATATATATATATCTATCTATCTGGTGTATCCATCAGCCATGTTATTTATTTGTGTTGAAGTGGTTTGTATTATGTTTTTTAGTTCCGAATAATTGAATTATCTGTAAAAAAGGAATTGTGCAGATGAAATAATTTTCATATAAAAATAGTATATTAAATTAATAATTGGAAAAAATATATATAATATAATATTTTAAATAAATAATACCATATATTAATTTAATATTTTAAATAAAAAATACAATTAGATACAAAATATTATATTTTACTTATGTATTATATAAACATAAAATAAACATCTCATCAATATAATTTACTATATAATTTCATCTATCACAGAAAAATTATACCAATTTTTTATAATATTTTTTTTTCAATAACTATAATACCTAGAAAAATGACATATATTAAAGTATCCAGATACAACGAAGGCGTAAATAATAACAAACATGTATTTTTTTATTTTTTTAGTTTAACTCATATTTCAAAATAAATCGTTGCGAGGGATTATATACTAGCTTGACACCAATCGTTGGGTAAAACTTAAACCTCTCAGAAATTTATATATTTACTGAATATACAATAAACACTAATTCAGTCCCAAAAATCAGAATTAAGACCTGTTTCAAAAAAACTTTATAGCCTATTCATAAATAAAATTAAGTCAGTTGCTTAACTACTCCTAACTTCTACTCTAATATATATATCAAAGACAAACTCGTCATATTAGTATGTAAACATATTGGCGTTACTGCAATGAAACATTGCTTTAGTAAAAAAGTAGTAGAGTTTAAACGATGGCACCCCGTTTCCTGAGTCAACTGCAGACACATTATAAAATGGCATGCATATCCTCCCGCGCTATTGGTGTTTCATTTTTCAAGAGAACATTTTGATCCACTAGTGTTGCTGAAAAGTTTCTTCCTATTGGCACTGTGTCTACCGCTTGTATTCGGCACATTCGCTCTTGTATGGCTTGTTTCGTCGATGGATTGCAGCGTTGCTCTCAACCCTGGGAAAGGCAAGAATTGAGCAATCAAGAAATTCACAGTTTTTTAAAACACAAAATATAGAGACACATACTCGTGAGTGAACGCGTGTAATGTTGCATTTGTTCCTTCCACATTTCATATTGTCTCTCTTTGAAGAAAGTGTCCAGATTGTCCTTATCCAATTCCTCTAACTTAGTTTCATCCTCTATTAACCGTTCACTAATGTTGGCAACTTCTTTGGCAATATTTGCATTCTTTATTAATCTTTATTGAATGTTGAAGGGATTATAAGACACATAAGTGAGCAAGTGTTAGTGTCATAGCAGTAAAGGTATAATTGTATTGAAAAGACTAAATCTTAAAATCACCTCCATTTTTTATCTTTCAGAGATGACCCCGTACTCCTCTTCTCGTTGCAAATCTCTTATACGGTCTTCATCCTCAAATTTTGACCATCTTTCATTACTTTCAGAATCGATCTTCATCAAAATGACGGTGATTGATCGAACAATCGATCTCTGAGACTCCTCATCTTGTTGTATCTATCGCTTTCGTTGATTCTTTGGCTTGTTGGCAGCCTTGTCCTTCTTGACTCCAATTGGACACTCCACATCGATTTCGGCAGGTCCTACTAGCTCTGGCTGAGTGGGGAATCTTGCTGACGAATTAGTATTTACAGGTTTCACACCTATGTTACTATCTATAAGGGTCACTGACGATGGTACTTCAACAGGTCCTTGAAGATCATTTCGTTCGCCAACATCTTCATTACGCAAAGTACTCGACCGCTCATTTAATTTGCTCTTCTTGCTGCTACCAAATTCTATCCATTTTGGTTGGTCTTTTAATATATTCCAGCATGCATCCCATTTGAATTTAGTCTCGTGTCTTTCAGTAAAGGTTGCATGACAAAATTGCTCATGTAAAAACACACAGATATATATATATATATAAGTGGTTTTAATAAAATTCCATATCAATAGATAGCAATAGGGGAAGTGGAAAATAAACCTACAAAATCTAATGCGCTCCAACCGCTCTGATAATGTGATTGTGCCTGAACTCGGATGGCCGAACATTTAGTACATTTATTTTGAATTTATGACCACTGATTCTCACACCCTCCTACTGTTCTCTTATTTTCTAATTTACTGACTCCATGTTTTTCTTCTATAAGTACGAAAAAAGTCTCGTAGATACGCTCCCACAGCCGTTGTTTCTTTTGTCCAACCCCAACTCGTGCATCCGTCGACACGTTACACCGTGCTATGGCCAACTCTACATCCTCATCCAAGCTCCAATTCTTATTTGCACGTTGGTGTGGTTCAGCGACCCTTACACTAGGCTGTCTTTGTGAAGGAACTTGGCACGGTACCGATGGATAATTAGAATTGAAGGATGATGTGTTCGTCTGTGATGCTTGTGTCTCATGATAAGGAGTCGGAGTTGAACCCACAGGTGGTATAAAGTTTCACATATTTGGGTATAACCTGGAATCGCTTTGATGGGGGTAGTATTGGAAATGAGAGAATGGACCACTAAAACTCATATTACATTGGCTCGGAAAAGCATATTGATATGAAGGTAGAGTTGGGGTATGGTCGGTACACGGAGATGTGTTACTTGCCCTGACTGGGGTCTTCTCACTTGTTTGGGATGAATCCAATAAATCAACCACCTCATCAACTCTCTTCCTGGAAAGTCTGTCTGTCATGACTATATTCTATAGAAATTGTAGCATAAACACTTATTTTTAAATATAACACACATAAATGACAAAACACAAGTGAAACTAGATGAATCGTGCAAGGTTAAGATATATAATTAGCAACAAAATTCAACAAATTGACATGAAGATACAAAATTCAACAAATTGACATGCAATTTTTGGATCCTATGAGCAATGCTAAAAATCATACTTACCGCCAAATGTTGAAAATCACATATCTCAATCACAAATTACATTCTAATATGCAGGAAATTGTAAAATCGATCCAACTTAGCAACAAACACTACCAAATTTGTATGAACGTATTGAAGAGATAATGAAGAAGAAAGGGAAAAGATAGTTTCACCACACAGACTGAAAATCAAATCAAATCCGCAATCGAGTTCAAAATTAAAGAGAATGTTGAAGCTTACCTCAATCGCGGCAGAATCCTTATTTTATCAACAATAAAACCTCCTTTGTTTATCCCATACGAGCAGATTGAGGAAGAAGAGAAGCAAATACCGAAATCGAAATCGGAGAGAAAAGTACCGGATGAGCGATTTTTCTGTAGGGTTTTGGAAGAAGAGGAAATGGCGTGATGTGAGAGAAAATTAATTTTTCCTCTCTCTTCGTACCTCAAAACAAGGTTGTTGGATGAATTTAATAAAATACTCTATGGCAAGTAATTCATGGGCATTGACATATAGACATCAAGATGCAATTTTTTTAATTGGCATTGCAATTGCTCTTAACAATGGTGTCAGAGTAATGGATATCCGTATTGAGTATAATATTAATATTGGTTCAGATTTGGTTTTGAGAGAGATATCATCTCGAAGGAAGTATTAAGTGTTTTACCACATGAATAAATGTTGGATGGTCTCCTTATTTATAATGGTGAACGATAATTTTTGACATCAATCGATTTTGAAAGAGTTTCTTTTTAACAGAGAGATGGAAGAGGAAGCAAATGAGATCACCGTGGCTCGAAGGAAGTTGAAGCATGCATCAAAATAACTATTTGATCCTTTGTTGTCGCTCATTTGGTCATTTTGCTCGTAAATCATAAGCATAAATTGAGCTCTGAGTTAGAAAAAATACTCAATAATTTTTTTAACTGAGTTTACTTGATTTGATATGGTGATTTATTTATTACTCCCTCTGTCCCACTTAATTTTTCCACTCTTTTTATTTTCGTCGTCCTACGTAATTTGTCATTTCTTTTTTTAAAATATAATTATACACTTTAATCATATAGCATATAATATAGTAATACAACATAGTCTCTCAATCTCACTTAATTTGTCCATTATTTCTATTTTCATCAGTACACATAATTTGTTCTTTCTTTTTTTGAAAATACAATTTATACACTTTAATCACATTTTAAAATTCATAATTTATAATTTTTTATTTTAATTATACTATTTGTCATCTTAATCTTAATTTAAAGTTATTTTTACTAAATCATAATTATTTTTACTAATATACTTTTTAATTACTCACTAATTACATAATACCTAAAATTTCGTGTCTAATCTAAATTGGACAAATTGGTCGGGATGGAGGGAATACAATAATATACTTTTTAATTGTATGTTTTGTGATTAGATGTTGAAATTAATAGTTAGAGTGTTGACTTAATCAAATGAACACGATATTAACGCCGCCATTTTTTAAATATATAACGAAAAAGTTTTAGTTTGAATTCAAAATATTTTATCATTTCCTAATAAGCAAACTTCAAGAAGTAAGATACATTCAGGGTGTGTTTGTTTGAGGGTTTGGATTTTGGATTTGGATTTTTAAAGATTTGTAAGTATGGATTTTTAAGTTGTGTTTATTTGAAGGTTTGAATTTTGTAATGATTATGTTGGAAGAAATTATTATTATAGTAAAAAAGGTGATGTATTGTTGTGATAGTTTGAAATGAAATATTGTTCAAATAAATAAAAGTGAAAAAGTAAAGTGATGTTGGAATTGATACTTATAAAATAATTTCTTTAAAAATTTTTTTGGAGATATTATTATTATTATTATTATTATTATTATTATTTTAAGGGTTTGTTTGTTTGAAGGTTTTGATATTGAATTGATATTTGAACGACGAAGGATTTAAATTTTTAATAGTTGTGTGACGTGATATAAAAATGATTTATGTGATATTTTGAACGTA